AGATTTTCAGAGGAGTAAATTGATATCAAATTGTAGTTGTATTTTCGGGATGTTTAAATATATATATATATATATATATATATATATATATATATATATATATATATATATATATATATATATATATATATTCCTCCCTTTCTGGGGCTTTTGAAAGCAATTAATCTTGGTTAGTAAAAACTTTTTGATAAAACTGCTTACAAAAAAAATTTCATCAGATTTCCTTTATGTGTCTCCACTGTCTAAGTCTCTTGCTATATATCTCAGGCTGGCTGTGTATTCTCCTTGCATTTTTTCAGAGTGACCTCAAATAGAATAAAGTCTCCAGTTTAGAAAATACTCTCATGGATGTTTGGGTTTCTTATTGGTTCTATGTCGTTCATTCAATATAATAGAATTCAAGAGCTTATTTCTTTTTTGAAGTTTGAATTAATTTGTCAAATATTATTTGATGTACTAGAACTTCATATAAACACATTCATCTCTGGGAAAATGCTTACTGAAATCCATTGAAGTAAATAATTTTTTTTTCTTTTGCCTGAGAGCTCTCCTAAGCTTAATGTAAAATTATATAATAGTACAGGATGTGAACACATTCTGATTCTGAACAAAATGTTCAAATCAATGTCTGTAGTATTAATTAAAAATCAACTCAGAATTATTTGATTATAATTTAGAAGATATTTTGCCCCTTTGGCTTCTTTCCCAAACCATATTGCTACCTCTTTTCTTTTCCCAATATTAAAAGAATCACAACAATTGTGGCAGAGATGGAATCATATGCCCTCTATTATATATTATTGGTCATAAAATTAGAGGAAAAGTAGGTCAAAGACATTTAAATAATCAAGAGACTAACAGAAATAAACTGAATGTCAACTTGAGGAAATTGCCTTCCTATCTGATTCATTCTTCTCAAAAGCCCTACTGAAAGTAAAAATGTTACTCTTAAAGGAGAAACAAGAAGGTGAGACTTGAACTATTTTCTTTCTCTGAGAAGACAAGCTATACAAGAAATCTTGACCTTTTGTCATAGGAAATAGTAGATTAAGTATACATATTATAAAATATCAAAATCAAATAGTTATTGTTAATTAAAATTAGGATTTTTCTCAAAACAATGTGAGAAGTATTTTACTGGAAGAATTAAACTGGATATTCAGCAGAGGACAATATGATCTTGTTCTCTTTGTGAAAGTAAAGACAATTCTTGGTTTCTGTCTCTGTTTAATTAAGGGAAGAGTTTCTTATTAAACTGAGATAAAGTAGGGTATTGAAAATAAAATAATCATGATTAGATATCCTGTTTTCTTTTGTGTTTTACAACATTCTGAGGTTTCTTTTGATTGTTTCTTTTAACCATTGATTACATTATTTTTAATCATGTCCATCAACAACAATCATAAATGAGCTCATGAAAGAACTGTGCCATTTTCTATTCTAATGATTTAGCTCATATTTATTTTTTTAGGTTGAGTGCAAAGGATATCACAGAGTGGTTAATTTAAAATATAATATAGGACTGGCAAAGTGTTTTGGTGCCTAAGGGTGATTTGACACCAAGCCTGACAGTCTGAGTTTCATCACTGAAACCCACATGATGACAAGAGAGAAACATGCTAGCTGTTTTCTGATTTCCCCATATGCTCTGTCACACACAAACATGCATTCACACAAATACACCTACAAAATAAATACATGTATTCCTACAAGTTGAAGAATAAGTTTTCATTCTCATGTTTCAAAGGAACCTATCTTTCATCTCTAGAGTACTCACACATGGAACTTGTGATATAGGTCATTTAAAACATCTCTACTGCAAAAGGTTATAAAGTCCATTTGCTACATAGGTCATTTAGTTATAGAGAAATATTAAATGATAATGATTTCTAAACAATGAAAAATCTTTCTCAGTAAACAAATGTGCTATTAACCTAAGCTACCTACCAAAAGAAATAGTATCCTGTAATTTTTTAGTCCTGATGGCAAGAGGAACTATATTAAACCTGATGAAAGTAGGCATGTGATACACAGTAGTAAGAAATGTTTAAATTACTGGAATAGTAGATCTCTAATTATGGTTACAACTATATTTAACTGGATTTATTTAATTAACTAAATATTCCATAATGAGTATAAATATATTGATGTAATACTTTTATGCAATAAATAATCATACACATTGCTACATCATTTAGAAAATCATCTTACTGATTTTCAAATGTTTTTAAAAGTGTTGGAAAAGAGAAGCAGAAAGACACACATGGTATATTCTCACTCATAAGTGGATATTCGACATATAGGATAAACATACTAAAATCTGCACTCCTAAAGAAGTTAATCAAGAAGGAGGACCCTAGGTAAGATGATCAGTCCTCATTCAGAAAGGCAAACAGGCATTGGAAGAATGAGAAAACAGGGAACAGGACAGGAACCTACCCCAGAGGGCCTCTGAAAGGTTCCACCCAGCAGGGTATCAAGGCAGATGATGAGTCTCATTGCCTAACTTTGGGCAGAGTGCAAGGAATCTTATCAAAGGAGATAGAAAGACTTGGAGGGGACAGGAGCTCCACAAGGAGAGCAATAGAACCAAGAAACCTGAGTCCAGGGGTCTTTTCTGAGACTGATGTTCCAACCAAGGACCTTGCATGGAGATAACCTAGAACCCCTGCACAGATGTAACCTATGGTAGCTCAGTATCCAAGCGGGTTCCCTATTAAGGGGAACAGGGGCTGTCTTGGACATGAACTCAGTGGATTACATCTCTTTGATCACTTCCCTATGACATGTGGGCAGCCTTACCAGGCCACAGAGGAAGATAATGCAGCCAGTCTGATGAGACTTGTTAGGTTAGGGTCAGATGGAAAGGAAGGAGGACCTCCCCTATCTGTAGACTGGAGGAGGGGCATGGGAGGAGAATATGGAGAGAAGTTGGGATTGGGAGAGAACAATACAGGGGACTACAGCTGGGATACAATATAAATAAAGTGTAAAAAAGAAAAAGAAAGAGAGAGAGAGAGAGAGAGAGAGAGAAAGAAAGAAAGAAAGAAAGAAAGAAAGAAAGAAAGAAAGAAAGAGAAAGAAAGAAAGAAAGAAAGGAAGGAAGGAAGGAAGGAAGGAAGGAAGGAAGGAAGGAAGGAAGAAAGAAAGAAAGAAAGAAAGAAAGAAAGAAAGAAAGAAAGAAAGAAAGAAAGGTGTTGGAAAAGGAGAAGCTCAAATCAGAACAAAGTAGAATGACACATTTATATGACAATGCCATAATGAATGCCATTACTTTGGATGATAACTTTAAAAACAAGCAAGCAAACAAACAAACAAACAAAAAATTGGTATAATACTGTAATTTCAGCAATCAAGATGCTGAGGCAGGCAGATGACTGAAGTTCAAGGCCTGCACAGTCTTCACATAGCAAGTTGTAGGTCAGCCAGGAATTCACAGCAAGACCACATCTCACAAAACCACAAATAGAGTTTTAAAATAACTATTTTAGCATTGTCTCAGGGAGTTGAAAAGTAAGGTGAAAGTTGATCTGAATCATATATTTATTTAAATAAATAAGGTAGTTTTAAAGGTTTATGACATCCATGAATTAAAAATGGCAAATAATTATATCAGCTAATATTCTTTAGAAATCTAATAAGTACACCCAGTTTCTTTTTGCCTCTCTAGATATTTCAAGGTAAATTCATATTTAGTAACCACCATGGAAATAACTAATTAGCTTGTGTCTTATCATGGAAATAAAAGTACTTGGGGATGTTTCTCTTTATATCATATCTTTAGTAAATACCCTTTAGATGCTGGACACTGAATTAGAGATTCGGAGTGCCTTTCTTCATAGAATTTGGTGTACCAGTAACAACATATTTAGAAGACATTACATGGCAGAACATATCAAAACCAGGTTTCTGAAAGCTAAAGTGCAATGAAACATCTTAAAAGAAACTTGAGAAAAAGAAAATGTTACTCTAAGGGGAACAATTCAAATAGCAATTTCCTTCTCAGAAGCCACTAAAGTTAGATAAAAATGATGAAAGAAAAAGCACTATGAATCACGAATTTTACATTCAGCAAATTTATCCTTTGTTATTGAAGAAAAAATGAAAACATTCTCATATTAAGCAAAGCTATGAGAATGTTTTATCAGCAGGGTTATTATTATAGTACTGCTAAGGCATACATTCTGAACAGATAAACATAAAAGTGGCTAATAACTTCAGGAAGAAATGAAAGCAAGAAAATGGGGGAATTATGACTAGGCATAATAGACTACCATCCTCATAAGTTCTTTAAAGTTTCTTTGAAATTTATGTATTTTCAGTATACATATAGAGGAAGAAAATAGGAAAAGCAGACATGAAATAAAAGACAATTCTACAATTATATTTAGTAAAGTCTAGACTTCTCTTTTATCAGTTGATAGATCAGCATTTGGCTATAGTTTAGTTGTTCAGCACTTACACAGTATGTACGAAGACCTGGAATCAAGATAAGAAGAACAACTGAATAGAAAGTTAGTAAGAAAAGCAAAAAGAATGAGTACTATTCTCAACCAATGGGGTCTAATAGATACTTAACCTCAGCTTTTATTTTGTTGATTTATATTTTGTACATGGGTATTTTAACCACAAGTTACAAAAAAACTTGGAAAATTAAACTTATAAAGGGTATTTTTCAGATATCACAAGAATCCTAAAAAAATCATTTAAAAAAGACCAGAGAAGCAAAGCATGGTGGCCATGCCTTTAAGCCCAGTACTCAGTGAGGCAGAGGAAGGCAGATTGCTGTGATTTCAAGGCTAGCCTGGTTTATTAAGAGAGTCTAAGAGAGCCAAGAGTACAGAGAAACCTTGTCTCAAACAAACAAAAAAACATTAAAAAAACAAACAACCAAACAAAAACTAGAGAAATTTTCATTTCTTGTCCATATTAAATTTCATTCCACATTTCAGCATTGATTATACTCATAAGACCAGTTACATGAATCTTCATACTAATACCTTGTCTGACTTGTCAGTTGAAATTCCGTAATAGATGTCTTGAATAAACCTATTCCTTGGATGTCAATGACATCCTCCACTTCAGGCTCAGTAGCAATCAATGTTATAGGAAATTTCCAGATTCCATATGATAAGCACTCAATTTTCAACGCGATATGAGTCCTTGAATACAAAAGGAGATTTAAAAAAAATACAACAGGGAGACAAGAAAAATATATATAAAAGAGCTAAAGTCAAAATGAAAGTCTCTCTTCAGTTCAGCCAAAAATGAATGGGAACATTTTAATGTTAAAAATCTAAATGATTGTTATTTGTTGTTTATGAATGATTTTGTAGTTAATAATTTACAGAATAATTGTACCATTTGGTAATTATTTTGTGGGTCCTCTTATCTACTCTGAAAAGCTCAGTAATTGTTGCAAAACTGACTGCACATTTTCTGTAGCCAACAAAAACTATCAATGTACTTAGTAAGTTATAGGTACATTCCAGAAAAATGGTCCAATGATTTTTTTTTAATTTTCATTAAAATCCCTTTTATAGCTTATTAGCTAGAAATTATATAGCTCCAAATGTTTTTGCATAGAATCAAACAAATAATGTAATCCAAATATTTACAGACAGAAAAAAAAACACACCAAATTAAAAAGAGTACCAATACTATATTTAAGAGAGAAGGGAGTTATGTTTACCTGAATGGTTTTCTTGGTGCAAATATTAAATTGAAAGTCAATGAAATTAATTCTTGTTTTATGTTAAATCGTTTTCTGTACAAATATAATGTTACAGAGGAACCCAGGCAAGACTTCAAATCTTCAGATTCAAATTATATTTCATACTCAAATTCTCGTCTTTTAGGAATTACTAGGAAAATGAAAATAAAAGTTTATGTCAGTTTAGCTCATTACACATAAACTGAACATCAATTAAACTGTCAACATTCATTTCTAAACAGTTTTTTTGTCTTTATAATTGTTTTATTATTCATTTTACACCTCATGTACCTTCTTGCAGGTTTTCATTAAAGGAAAAAAAAAGGAAATTTTGTTTAGATTTATTTTCATAATATTCACTACAATACCAGTTGAATAATACTATGAGTAATTTTGTTAAAGAAATATTAAAATATACAAGCCATATCTCAAAATCTTTATTTACAATTCAAGCTTATAGAATAAGAAAAAACAAAAAAAAATCTGATAGCCAACATTAACTATGAAAAATAAAACTTTTACATGTGTGATATCTGATAAATATATATGCTAGCTTTAACTTTTATTTAAGCTTACCCAAAACTGAAGCAGCATGCCAAATGATTACATGAGTATATTTTATGAAAGAAAATCTTTACATTTTAATCTTAAAATGTTTTAGACAATAAGGTTAAAATGATATCTTAATGCAGCATGTCATCAAAAGATATTAATAGTATTTTAGTTACATATGAAAAGAACTAAAGTACAGAAACACCATGCATAAAAGAGATACAAACATTCACTAAATTACTCTTCATTTCCCAATGAAGCTCAAACTACAATTCTAGAAATTTGTCTTGTAAATATCACAGTCCATAAAATTATGATTTGGACTGTACTTAATAAAAAAAAATAGGGAGAGGTACAAGATGGCAGCACCAGAATGACACTGCATCTGAGGAGCAGGACAACATTTTTCATACAGTGACCACGAGACTGAACTCTGGGTCCTACAACAACAGCGATCCTGTTTCCCAGGTGAGAGGAAACTCCATGGTGTGGGAATCAGGCGGGTCCACTATCAGGTCACCCAGACAGAACCCAGAAGAGAACCCGGGTGGGTTGCACAAGCACTCAGTCGTCAGACCAGAGCAACACGCCTGTGTGTCCTGATCACCTTCCCAGGCTGAACGGTGGGCACAAAAACACCAGAGACTGACAGTACCAGTCACGAGAAAAACCCATAGGGAAGGAAGGAAATGGGACTGACCTCAGGTCACCCAGTCTTGCCCAGGAAAAGGTCCTGCAGAATGGCAGGTGGGCACTGCCAGCACTAAACTGGGCTCCAGCTGCGAGAAGAGACTTGCTGTGCACCCAACTCTCCGTTACAGGCAGAACTGTATGCCCCAGAACATCAGAGATTGGGAGGTCTTGTTGGGTGAAAACCAACAGGAAGCAAACTGAGACTGAATAGATCATCCAGTATATACCTAGAAAAGGTCCTGCAGACTTGAACGCATGCCAGCCCAGAGATCTGCTGTGCACCAACTAAACTCCTGCTGCTCCCATGAGAGCAGTACTAACATGCCACTGATTACTGCTGGGGTATTGGGGCACAGAGCTCCTACCTCAGACCTACAGAAGCCTGGGATCCCCGAGATCAACCCCCAGATACTGCTCCAAGGGGGAACCAGTTATCCCTAACAGAACTGACCAAACCATGGGACACCCTGATTACAGCAACAGCTCATTAAATTTACAGCAAGAAACCCAGAAGCAGGGGAGCTGTCTCCAGGAATTCTCCAGGTGAGAGGAGAGCCCTCTTGACTAACAAGAACCACAGTTACCACTCAGGTCTGTAGGCCTGAGGCGAGCTGTGGCAACACGTGAAAAACACTGGCCATTCAGTGACCATACCCAAAAAGCTGAGGAGGCTTCCTTCAGACCATCTTCCTGCCAAGGAAATTCTCTCCACCACAGGATTCCAGGAACCACCAGAAACTAACACCCAATACCTAAGATAGCCCAGTGGGTAGAGGCCAGTGTAAAAGCTCAACCAACAAAAGACAGAACATCTCTGGCATCTCTGGCATCTCCAGAACCGAGTTATCCAGGGTCAAGCAGCCCTGAACACCCTAGCATAATTGAAATTAAACAAGATGACCTAACATCTATGCTCATGAAGAGGATAATAGAGGAAACTAATAAAATGTGTAAAGAACTAGAGGAAGATAAAGTCAAACATATTATGGCAATCCTTAAAGAAATAGAGGAAGATCAAGACAGATTATGGCCATTCATAGAGAAATAGAAGAAGATAAAGAAAAAGAGATTGTGGCCATCCGTCATTAGCCATTAGGGAAATGCAAATCAAAATGACCCTGATATTTCACCTTACACCCATCAGAATGGCCAAGATGAAAAAGTCAAGTGACAACACATGCTGGAGAGGCTGTGGAAAAAGGAGAACCCTCCTTCATTGCTGATGGGAATGTAAAGTGGTACAATCACTTTGGAAGTCAATCTGGTGCTTACTCAGACAATTAGGAATAACGCTTCCTCAAGACCCAGCTATACCACTGCTAGATATATATCCAAAATTTGCTCAAGTACACAACAAGGACATATGCTCAACCATGTTTTTAGCAGCTTTATTTGTAATAGCCAGAAGCTGGAAACTACCCAGATGTCCATCAACAGAGGAATGAATACAGAAATTGTGGTATTTTCACACAATGGAATATTACTCAGCAATCAAAAATGAGGAAATCATGAAATTTGCAGGCAAATGGTAGGATTTAGAAAAGATCATTCTGAGTGAGGTATCCCTGAAGGAGAAAGACAAAAATGGTATATACTCGCTTATATAGACCTATAAGACATGATAAACATAATGAAGTCTATACAACTAAAGAAGATAATCAAGAAAGTGGACACGAGGTAAGATGATTAATCCTCACTTAGAAAGACAAATGAGATGTGCATTGGACAGATGACAGGAGTCTACCACAGAAGGCATCTGAAAGATCTTACCAAACAGCATTTCAAAACAGATACTAAGACTCATAACCAAACCTTCAACAGAAGGGGAGTTAGTATGATGGGAAAAGGATAGGAGCCCCACAGGGACCAAATATATCTGGGCACAGGGTTTTTTTTTTCTGAAACTGTTGCTCTAACCAAGGACCATGTACGGATATAACCTAGAAACTTTGCTTGGACAAAGCTCATGGTAGCACAATAACCAATTGGTTTCCCATAGTAAGGGAAACAGGGACTAATTCTGACAGGAACTCAATTGCAAGCTCTTTGACCCTGCACCCCCCAAGGGAGGAGCAGTCATGCTAGGCCACAGAGGAGGACTTTGCAGCCAGCACTGAAGATACCCAATAAAACAGGGCCAGACAAAAGGGGAGGAGGTCTCCCCGAATCCATAGACTTGGAAAGGGGCAGGGAGAAGCTGAGGGAGGGAGGGTGAGATTGGGAGGGAATAAAGGAGAAGGATATAGCTGAGATACAGTTAATAAAATGTAACTAATAATAATAAACAATAAAAAAGAAGCAAACATATGGCACATATGTATCCATATGTGTTAAAATTAAAAAAAAAAAATACAGGAAGTTGCAGCCAAATAGTTTGTGGCCTTAAGAGAGGAAATACTTACATCACTGAAAGATATAAAAGAAACAAAAGATTGTTCAAACAAATAGCTGAAGGAATTGAAGGAAAAACAGGAAAATACAGTCAGATAGGTAAAGGAAATCAACAAAACGGCTCAAGATCTGAAGATAGAATTAGTAAACAAAGAAAACACAAATGGAAGAAATTGTGGAGAGAAAGAACTTAGGGAAGAAAACAGGAACTGCAGAGGTATGCATAACCAATAGACTACAAGAGATGGAAGAAAGAATCTCAGGTGTGGAAGATACAATGGAAGAAATCGATGTATCCATCAAAGAAAATGTTAAATCTAAAAAATCCTGACACAGACCATCCAAGAAATTCAAGACAACATAAAAAGACAAAACCTAAGAATCAAACTAATAGAGGAAAAAGAAGATTCCCTCCTACAACGCCCAGAACATATTTTCAACAAAATCATTGAAGAAAATTTCCCCAAGGTAAGGAGAGGCCAGTAAGACTACAAGAGGCCTACAGAACACCCAATAAATTAGACCAGAAAAGAAAATCTTCCCACCACATAATAATCAAAAGAGTAAATATACAGAACAAAGAAAAAATACTAAGAGTTGCAAGGGAAAAAGGCCAAGTAACATATAATGGCAAACCCATCAGAATCACACCTGACTTTTCAACAGAGACTATGAAAGCCAGAAGGGCCTGGATGGATATCATGCAGACCCAAATAGAACACAGATGTGAGCCCAGGTTACTATACCCAGCAAAATTCTCAGTCCTCATAGACAGAGAAAACAAGATATTCAATGACAAAAACAAATTTCAACAATACGTACCCACAAATTCATCATTACAGAAGACACTAGAAAGGAAAATACAACCCGAGCATACTAGCTACTTTCAAGAAAACAAAGGAAATAATTAACCTCATTACAATAAAACAAAAAGTAGCCAAGCACAAAAACTTACTACCACAGCCAAAATCAAAATAAAAGGATCTAACAGCCACTGGTCATTAATCTCTTTCAATATCAATGGACTCAATTCTCCAATAAAAAGACACAGACTAACAGAATGGATGCTTAAAAAAGACCCAGTAATCTGTTGCATAGAAGAAACACACGTAAGTCACAAAGATAGACATTACCTGAGAGTAAGGGTTGGAAGACTGCTTTCCAAGCAAATGGACCCAAAAAGCAAGCAGGAGTAGCCATTCTAATATCTGATAAAATAGACGTTCAACCCAAATTAATAAAAGAGATGGGGAAGGAAACTTCATACTCATCAAGAGAAAAGTCCACCAGGAAGACATCACAATCCAGAACATCTATGCCCCAAATAAAGGGCACCCACATTTGTAAAAGAAACATTGATAAAACATAACATAGATACCCACACATTAACAGTGGGAGACTTCAACACCCCACTCTCAACAAAGGACAGGTCAACAAAACAGAAAGTAAACAAAGAAACAATAACTCTGACAGAGGTCATGAATCAAATGGACCTAACAGACATGTACTGAACCT